GAGGAGGACTGCGGGGGGGGAGATGCTACCTGACGCACGACCGAGGGGAGAGGGGTAGCGTGAGACACACCTGACGGGGCAGGACCAGGGGGGGGCGGGGGTACCGGAGGAGTGGGAGCAGGGGGGGGAGAGGGTGCGAGGAAGAGGGGGGGAGGGGGAACCGGGAGACCTCGACAGGGGTACCGGGTGTAGTAGGACACTGATTCTTCAAACCGGACGTCACGAGAGTCTAGAAACTGGTGGAGGGGCGGGTGGTAAAAGGAGTAGTCGGGAGAGCCCACCGGGAAACCAAGGAAGACACAGGGGATGGCGCGAGCCGAGAGCTTGTCCGCAGAGGTGTCGCGGACAAGCGCAAGGCAGCCCCAAACGTGAAAGGCCGACCCAACACCAAGGGACCTAGTCCAAAGACTGGTCGGTGAAACCTCTGGCCGCGAGACACACGGCTGGAGGTTCAGCTGGTGCGCGGCGTAGCGCAGCGCGTAGGGCCACAGAAAATGGGGCGCACTGGCATGGATTATGGACGTGCGGCCGATGTCTATGACCAAGCCAATGGGGCGCTCAGCAACCCCATTCTGCTGTGGGGACTCCGGCAGCGTCCAGGACTGTCTGATGCCCTGCTCGCCGTAGAACCCGGCAAGGACGCCGGAGTGAAACTCACCCCGACGGTCGGAGTGGAGACAACGGACACGACTACCACGAGTGCCCTCAGTGGCCAGAAGCCACCGGATCAGCGTAGAAGTCACCTCGGACTTCTTCGCGAGAGGAAACACCGTGGTGTACCTGGAGTAGTCGTCAACGACCACTAGAAAGTAGCGCTCCCTCTCAGGTTCCAGCGTAGGGGCAGGGCCCCAGACGTCCAGGTGGAGAGTCTGGAAGGGAGAAGTGGCCGGACGAAGGGAGGAGGAGTGCGGAGTGGCGCGCAGGCGGTCGGCGACGCAAGGAGTGCAGGGTGGGGCAAGCAAGGGCGGGAGCGACTGAAAGACGCGCGGGAGACCTGAGACAAGACTGTGACTGGCCATGCTGCGGAGGCGGGGGAGCGACAGGTGGCCAAGGCGGTGGTGCAACAAGACGGTCGGGTGGGCGAGGGACCGACAGGAGCAAGACGCAGCAACCTGAGCAGACACAACTACCTGACCAGACACAGCAACCGGACTAGACACTGGGACCTGAGGGGACGCAGCGACCTGAACGGAGGAAGTAACCGGGGAGCGCTCGGTGTGGAGAACGTAGAGACTAGAGCGGGACTCCCTGGTGAACGTGGCGAGAACAGCACCTGTAGCGGCGTCTGTACAGACCGCAGTCCTCCCACCCCCCACAAAGGTAACGGTGATCCCCCTGTCCTGGAGGTATCCAACACCCACCAAGTTCCGAGTGAACGAGGGGATGTGGAGGCCGCGCAGGACACCAGAGGGGACCACAGGGCACGGGAGGGTGGTGGAGCTGCGCGCAACGGCTGGTCCTGAAGAAGGATCAGCCAGAGCTACCAGAACCGGAGCAAGGAGTGGTGTGAGGGTCGTGTGGTCGCTGAAGAAACACTGCGACGCGCCAGAGTCCAGCGTGAACGACAGAGACGCCTCAGCCGGAGGCGTGGCAGGTCCGGAGGCTACACAAGCACCTAGAGCAGAGACACAAGCACCTAGACTAGAGAGGCACGTGTCTACACTAATAGGAGGCAAGCATCCTAGACTACGAACACGCGAGCACACATATCCATCAGCACCATAGTCAACATCAGCATACAAAGCATACTGGCGAGCCCAGCGCAGGGTGGTCGCCTCAGGACCCCAGTGTGCACGGTAGAGGTCGTCGAGGCGGCGGAAGCACCGCGCTGCAGAGTGGTCGTCGCGGCCGCAGACACAGGGACTGCCCGGTCCGGTGACGCACCAGTGGTCGCAGGGGCCGGTGTCGCGCCGCGGGGGGCGGGGGGCCCAGCTGGTAGTGCTGCTGCTGCGGCCAGTGCTCCCGGGTCCTCCAGGTCCCCACTGTGGCGGAGGGCCCCAGTGCTGCTGCGGACCCCACTGCAGTGGGAGTCCCCACGACTGAAACTGCTGTGGTGCCTGCCACTGTTGCTGTCCCTGCTGCTGCTGCTGTCTCTGCTGTGGCTGCTGCTGCTGTGGCTGCTGCTGCTGGGGCCCCGCACCACCGCTGGTCGAACCTCCTCCAGCATGCGGGTCAGCACCTCCTCCAGAGCTCCCTCCGCCTGGGGCACCACCGCCACCGCCACCACTGCCGCCCCCAGGGCCGCCTCCACCACCGCCACCTCCTCCACCGCCGCCACCCCCCTTCCCCTCTTTCTTGCCTCCCTTGTCCCGTTTATGCCTGTCAGCGGCAGAAACAGCTGCAGTGTCCTCAGAGACCGACACAGCAGCAGAGGCACGAGTAGCAGTGAAGGTAGGAAGCTGGGGGACAGCACACCCCTCAAACAGACGAGGGGCAACTGCGTCAGTGGCTGAGGCAACAGAGAGGAGGTTACTCTCGATCTTCCCGAGAGTGGTCTCGAGAAGATCAATCGTAAGCTCACTGGGGTGCTGCTGGAGAAGTGTGTCACGGGCAGTGGAGAGGCGGTCAGGGAGACGAGTGACTACCCAGTGGACGGTGAGCCAGATAGGAGGAGGGGCAACAAGAAGCTGAGCCTCAGTGCAAGCTGCTCGGTAGCTAGCGACAAGGGAGCGCAAGTGTGTGGCTAGGTCAGAGACAGTCGCAAACGAGCCGAGGTCGGGAAACACGAACGGCATGAGGATGCGGCTGAGGGAGGCAGAGGAAGGGGTGGAATAGCGTGCAGAAATAGCATCATACACCTCCTTCGTAGTCTCTACCAGGTTGAAGTGAGCGGCCTCAGTCGGTGGAAGGAGCTCGGTCAGCGCGAGTGCAGCCGCAGCGTCACGGGAGTCCCAAACGTCCCGCGCCAAGACGAGACGAGCGTAGTCCGCCTGCGCCTCCGGAGTCGGGGGGGGCACGGCAGGGAGGGGCTCGGGACGCGGTGGTGCCTGGAGGGCGTCGGACGCGTGGGCGTACAGGGTGGCGCCGTCCTGGCGCTGACTGCTGAGATAGCGCTGAGTCTGGCGGGGCCAGGTGCTGAACTCTATCGGGCGCCCCTCTGCATCGAAACGAGGGCGGCGGGAGGAGTCCATAGTGGACGCTAGACTAGGAGCAGCTGGAGCACTGAGCAAACGGAGCTAGGAGCGAGGAGCGCCAGGTGGGACTAGGCGAGGTACTACCGGAGCACGGAGGAAAACTGAGCTAGGAACGCCAGTCTAGTAACGAATGGAGCTGGGAGCTAGCTGGGCTAGGAGCACACGGCTGGAAGAGGCAGGGCTGACGAGCCGATCGAGGAGCCAGAGAGTCGTTCGAGGGGCTGGCGGAGCGAGGAGAGACCTAGCTAACAACGAACGCCAGGACTAGCCTAAACAGCTAAGTGGAGCAGCCTCCAGCCGCGACGGTGCGAAACACTGTGAGTACGTGCGAAACACGCGAGTGTCGAACCAACGGAGGTCGGGTGGTCCTGGGTGGTGTGCGCGCGTGATGAGGGGCTGTGAGCGGTTGGAAGGGGCTGTGAGCGGTTGGAAGGGGCTGTGAGCGGTTGGAAGGGGCTGTGAGCATTTGGAAGGGGCTGTGAGCGGTTGAAAAGGGGCTGTGGGCGGGTGGGAGGGGCTAGCTGGCGGCTAGCTGCTGGCGGCTAGCTGCTGCTGGCGGCTAGCTGCTGATGGCGGCTAGTTGCTGGCGGCTAGCTGCTGATGGCGGCTAGTTGCTGGCGGCTAGCTGCTGGCGGCTAGCTGCTGGCGGCTAGCTGCTGGCGGCTAGCTGCTGCTGGCGGCTAGCTTCTGCTGGCGGCGAGCTGCTGGCGGCTAGCTGCTGCCTAGCCGTGCTGCTGCAGTAGCACGCGCTGCTGCCAAACCGTGCTGCTGCAGCAATGCACGCGCTGCTGCTGCAATGTGCGTGCTGCAGTGGCGTGCGCGGCTCGCGCTGCTGCTGCAATGCGCGTGCTGCCGTGGCGTGCGCGGCTGCCGCTGGCTAACGCGCGCGCTGCTGCTGCTGGTGCGTGTGTGCCCGCTGCTTGCACGCGCGGCTGTTGCGGGCTAAGCACGACTACGCGGGCCTGCGGGGGGGGGTCCCTTATGGAGCGCGACGAAACGAGGGGCCAGCGGGGCCCTTTAAACGCGACGAAAAAACGAGGCCCGCGGGGGCCTTTGAACGCGACGAAAACTAGGCCCGCGGGGCCCTTTGAACGCGACGAAAACGAGGCCCGCGGGGCCCTTTGAACGCGACGAAAACGAGGCCCGCGGGGGCCGTCCTACCCGCGACGAAACGGAGTCTAAGGGACGGGCGCCTCGGGACCGGCTAAGGGAGGGAGCGGAAGCGTGGGAGGGAGAAAAATTACCTACTCTAATACCATCTTAAAACATGCTAGGAAAAGTGTCGAGAGAATGGTGTGAGTGAGTAGGAACAATCGAGATACAAGTGTCGACCTAAAGAATGTTGTACCCTTTAGAGGGCAACTCACTGTAGCCTAGAATAACTAACATCTAGAACATATAAACATTTGACAATGACTACTAGGTGCAATATGTTACCGTAATACTAAATGTAAACATGAAGGTGTGGTTCAAATTTTCAGGGTACACTTAGTAAAAAGATTGACAAACGCACGTGTGACACCGAACAAGAAACAAATCCGATTGGAGATTGGCTTATGAGTTAAATAGAACCAGTAACTAACTATACCTTCACCGTTCCTACAGTGTCACATTCCAGTCTCAACGCATTCCCCTAACAACCACTCCTGCACGAAGCAACTCGCGGCGAGCCCTTTCAGAGACCTTACTCGCCTCCACCTTCAAATACCGCAGCCTTGGCACGTTCCCCAGCAGCCCACCTATGCCGTCTGCAGTGACTCCACCGCACCCCACCACAGTCAACCGAGTCAGCAGCTCCAGTTTACTCCCTGCAATCACCGTGTCTGAGAACGCATCACAGCCTTCCACCCGCAGGTCCTCCAGCATTCAACATGCTCGCAGCAGCTTCACCAGCTGCCTCTCCCCCAACCCACAGCAGTTCATGAGAGCCAGACTCTTGAGCCTTGCACACACAGCAGCTCGTGTTAGCGATTCAAAGGACTGTGGCTCGCTGCTCAGGCTTGAGGCAGGACTGGGGGAGGAGGACGATGAAGGGAGGGGGGGTGTGGCTGGGGGAGAGGGGTACATGAGGGGTGAGGCAGAGGGAAGGGGAGAGGGCAGCCAGGAAGGGTCACAAGTGGAGGCGAAGCGAATGCTCTCAAGGGTTAGGGCCTCCAGTGGAGGGCAAAACACTTCCACAGGTGTCACGAGTGTGTTTATATTTGGGGGTGTGCTCTTTTCGGGTGGTGTGCTCTTGTGGGGGGGCGAGTGAGTTGAGTCTCTTCTCCCCAGCTGCTCGTCTCCTCCTGGACCTCCTCCCGCCTCTGCCCCTGGCAGCTGCTGTAACGCTCGTGCTCTTCTCGCACCCTCTCCCACTCTCCCTCCTGCATCTCCTTCTGCGCTTGTTGGCCCCTGTGATACTGCCTCTTCTGCTCTTACCCCTTCTGCTGCCACCGTTCCTGCGCCTTCCAACGTTGCTGCATCTGTTGCTGCCGGCCCAGGCCCTGCTGGCGGAGCCCCAGGCAGTGGCGCAGCCCCAGGCAGTGGCGCCGCCCCAGGCAGTGGCGCAACCCCAGGCAGTGGCGCCGCCCCAGGCACTGTTGGCGGGGCGCCAGGCGGAGCCCCACGAGCGACGGCCTCCATGCGCGCCACCAGCTGCTGAGTGAGCGCCTGCAGCAGCCCACGTGCCTCTCTTCGTGACACCGCCACAAACGCCGGCCATCCACCCGTCTCCTCCCCCAGCAGCGTCTCGCTCACCTCCGCCAGATCAGCCGGCAGGTCACTCTCTGGGCTGAACCCTACCAGCTCCTCCACCTCCCTCCTTCCTCCCCTTTGCCCGCCTCTCTCCTGGTGCCTCTCCGCTTCCGTTTCTTCATCCAGAGGAGCAGTTAAGAGCCCTGCAGCCTGGGCAGCGGTGCAGGCCTCCACCAGTGCCTCCTCGCGTGCAATCCGGGCGTTCACCTCGTTCACTGACAGCCGCACGCACAGGCACAGCGAGATGGCCGCGCGGACCTGAATGACGGCATTCCTAATGCTCGAAAGGGCGAACTCGCCTCGCATGTGCCGAGCCCGCATGACTTGCGAGATGACTTTCTGGAGCCTCCACTCACATGTGTCCATGAGGGCCCTCCAGTCGTCGATTGCGGCCACCATGTCAGCGCGTGCTGCTGCTGCTTCCATACGGAAATCCAGGTACGTTGGGCTCCTGTGGCCCCTGATTCCCGTCTCTGCTTCTACCAGCGTGGTAGCTGCTGGGGGGGCTGCTGCGTCATGGGCTGTCATTGCTGCTTCACCATCGTCTGCTGTTGCTGCTGCTGCTGCTGCTGCTGCTGCTGCTGCTGCTGCTGCTGCTGCTGCTGCTGCTCCCTCACCGTTCCCCACAACCATCTCCCCTTGGCGTCTCCCTACTCGATCGTCCCCTGCCACCATTCCCGCACTGACTCCCCGCTGTTCCACGCGCACCAGCATGGCCACAAGGCACTCCAAAGACGACTTCTGCGGCGCCTCAGAGGGCATAACACTCTCCCTCGCCTCCCCCAATCCTTTCACCGTGAGTCGCTTCAGGCTGCTGCAGAGTGCAAGCATGCCCGGGCGGTACGAGGGCAACCCGGAGAGAGTAAGGGTGTGGAGGCGGGAGGAGGAAGTGCGGAGAAGGGCAAGAAGGCTTTGGGCAGCGAACAGAGGGTAGGAGGTGGAGTAGAGGGAGAGGGAGGAGAGAGCTGGGTTGGTTTGAGCGAGGGCGGCGAGGGAGTGGCTGGAGACCAAGGGACAGCTGAGGAGGGCGAGGTGGGTGAGCGTGTGGAGGGAGCGAGAGAGGGCGTGAAGCTCGCAGGGATCGATGGTGCAGGAGAGGAAGGAGAGAGAGGTGAGGCGAGGGAAGGAGGCGAGAGGCGAGAGGGCGGCTTCGAGGCGAGCAGAGTGGATGGTGAGGGAGGCGAGGGAGAGGCGGAGAGGGGAGGAGGGGGAGGCGAGGGAGTAGAGAGCGAAGGCGTTGGGGCCCCAGAGGGTGAGCGAGGTGAGAGAGGAGCAGCGGGAGATGAAGCGGTAGTGCGAGGGCTCGTAGAGGAGGGTGAGGGAGCGCAGTGAAGGGAAGGCGTCCACTGGGGGAGGCGGAGGGTCGTTGAAGTCGGAGTGGCGCTCGAGTGGCGAGTCGAGCTCCAGTGACGTCACCAGGCTGACGGGAGGGAGGGGAGGGGGAAGGAGAGGTGGAGGGGGAGGGGGAAATGGGGTGAGGGTGGTGGGTGAAGAGTGGAAATGAAGGAAACATGAAGGATGCAGAAGGAGGGTGAGGAAGCGAGGGTGTAACGCCGGTGGGCTTTGTTAAGGGCATTCCGCTGCGCCTAAATAACACCCTCGTTTTGACCCAATGGGTAGCGAGGCGTTACAGAGGGTAAGGCGGGGGAGAGGGTGAGGGGACGTGGAATAGGCGAGGCATGGAAAGCGAGGGGTGAGGAAGGGGTGAAGGGCGTAGGAGAGAGAGACAGAAGGGAGAGATGACGCGTGAGCTGCGAAGCGGCGAAGAGACGGAATAGAGTGGTAAGGATACAAGATCGGGAAAGCGCTTTGTTCGGCCTGGGCGTGAACCGTGACACGGACGTTCAAAAGTATAACGAGTCGCGCGATTCTACGACGGTGACGGAGAGAGAAGCAAGGCAAATGACGAGACTCAAAGGGACGAGGAAACGGTCTGCGGAGAGAAAATACCTAAAAAGGGCGCAGGTGCTTGAGAATAAACGAGAAGGGGAGAGCAAGTAGAAGGCAAGACAACCAAACCGCGGCGCACTCACGGGCATTGCCGCGCGAGTTTCTTCCAAGCCCCGGCGTTGGTCTGAAATCGGTCTTGCAACGACACGAGCTTCAACCTTTCCAGTTTCGGGCAGCCCGCGCCGATTCCACCCAGCAGCTGGTCAATGGTGGTGCAGCTAACCTCCACCGTGAGGTCGGTTATTTGGGTAAACACCCCCGAATAAGTGTCGAGGTTCTTCATCCATTCCCGGGCAGTGACGCCCTGTTTTTTCCTGAAGAAGTGGAGGCGGAGCGAGTGAGGCGTGCGGCGGGAGAGGCGGCGGAGGTGAGAGCAGGAGAGGGCGAGGCTGCAGCGATCGCGCGGATGGTCGACGCGCGCGAGAACGGGCTGGAGAAGCTCGTCGGGGAGGGACAGCAGGCGAGAGCTTTCGCGACCGCGCGCACTTTTCATCGTTGACTCTCATTAACGCGTGAACAGAAAAAAGAAAAAAAAAAGTCTGCTGGGACTGGTAGAATAAGGGATGGACAACTAACAGAGGACACAATGACAACCATTCATCTGTTCCGTTATCTGCTGTCAAGCTTCTGCGCATGCGTTGATGGTGCAAGAGCTGTGCCCTGCTGCTGGGGTGGGTGGGTGGGTGGCTCGCTGGTTGACGCGAACTGGTATGAGCGAAACTGTTTCGACTGAGGGGAAGGGATTTCGCGTCTAGTGTGCCCATGAGGAATGTATGAGTGCCAATGGTCCAACAAGCGCGATCGCGACATTATCGAGTTAGCTAGTAACCACAACTTCTGCAAAAAAAGGTGATGCGATGCGATGCGAGCGAGCCTGGACTTACGAATCGCGATTGGTGGAAAATTTTCGTTAGTAAGAATGTTCTTTTACGTTACTTGCTTGTGATGAAGTCTCAGGCTACATTCCTGGATCTACACAAATATCTCAATCCTTTTGTGACATCCAAAATCAGCATATACTGTATTGTGCAACAATCGCGCGTCGCCCTAATGCGAATTTTACTGTATTTTACATTGGTTAGCATTGAACGCGCTAAAGCCGCGGACGAGTTGCACGATGCCCCGTCACATCCAACCCTTCGTACGTGTCAGATTACAATTGTATCTCTAGGCTACAGTAGGGTCCCTCCTTAGTGAGTACAACACTTTAGGGTTAGGTTTCCCCTACTTGTACTCACCTCTTGCCTAGTTCAATCATTCATTCCTAGTTCTATTCTTGACATGTTATTAGAGTAGGAACCGTTCCTACATGGGCCCACCGTTCCGCCTAGTGGTAGCGCCACGCCCTACACAGTAGCCAGCGCGCTGGCGCCCCTAGCTCTCACTGTCGCGACCCTTGCAGCCCGTGCGCTGCCCCTGCGACCGCGCTGCCCCTGCAGCCGTGCTCGCCCCTACGACCGTGTTGCCCCTGCAGCCGTGCTCGCCCCTGCTACCGTGCTGCCCCTGCAGCCGCGCCTGCCCCTGTGGCCGGCGCGCTGCCCCTGCAGCCCGTACGTTGCTCCTGCAGCCCGTACGTCGCCCCTGCAGCCCGTTCACGCTGCTCCTGCAGCCCGTTCACGCTGCTCCTGCAGCCCGTTCACGCTGCCCCTGCAGCCCGTTCACGCTGCCCCTGCAGCCCGTTCACGCTGCCCCTGCAGCCCGTTCACGCTGCCCCTGCAGCCCGTTCACGCTGCCCCTGCAGCCCGCGCGCAGACCTACCGAGCGGCGCGTCGCCTCTGCAGCCCGTCCGCGCGGCCCCTGCAGCCCGCGCGTCGCCCCTGGAGCCCGCACGCCGCCTCTGCGGCCCGTTCGCGCCGCCCCTACAGCTCGAGCGCGGACCTGCCGAGCCGCGCGTCGCCTCTGCAGCCCGTCCGCGCGGCCCCTGCAGCCCGCGCGTCGCCCCTGGAGCCCGCACACCGCCCCACGAGTCGCGCGCTGCTGCCTCGCACGTCGCGCTCTGCTGCAGCCCGCGCGTCGCGCCCTAAGGCAGCCTCTCGCGTCACGCACTGCTGCAGCCTGCGCCAGCGCCCTGCCCTGCGCGCACTGGCGCCCTGCCCTGCGCCCGCGCCCTGCCCTGCGCCAGCGCCCTGCTATACCCTAAATATAATTAAATTGTTTATTTAAAAAAAAAAAGAGAGAAAAAAAAAAAGGCCCTAGGTGCTTCTGCCCTAGGAGCTACTGCCTACTACTGCCCTGCTGTGGCCGAGCGCCGCCCTGCTCTGGCCGCGAGCCGCCCTGCTGCTGTTACTACTGCTGCTGCTGCTACTCGTGCTACTGGGAGTGGTGGAGGTGCTGCTGGGAGTGCAGGAGGTGCTGCTGGCGCTGTAGGAGCTGGAGGTGCTGGACCTACTCCTGACCGTCACTGTCTGTCATGGCCACTTCCGCGGCAGTTGCTGCGGCCAGGGGTGGACAGCAGCGGGCACTGCTTCTCCCGGACGACCCCACCCCTCGGCAGCTTCGTGAGTGGGTTATTCAGCGAGGTCGTCCTGGTGGTGGAGGTTATCGTTCTGTTAGGACTGCTGCTCTAGGTGCTAGTGAGTCTGCTGCCGCTCCAGGTGCTAGTGAGTCTGCCGCAGCTCTAGGTGCCCGTGCGTCTCCAGACGCTCTAGGTGCTAGTGCGTCTACTACCACAGGTCCTGCCTCAGATGAGGTCTTGCACACTTTCACGCTTGACTCAGGCGCGTCACGTTGCTTCTTTCGTGATTGCACCACAGTCACACCACTCACAGCACATGTCCCAGTCTCACTGGCTGACCCCTCTGGGGGCCCAGTGGTTGCGAGAGCCTCCACGGTCCTCCCTTGTCCAGCAGTCCCCTCCGGCTCTTTGTCAGGTCTCCACCTCCCCACGTTCTCGACGAACTTGGTGAGCAACGCTGCCATTCAGGATGTCTGGGTTGATACCTTTATTCCTGGAGGGCAGCGTGTGGCGATCTGTACGTGCTCCCGGACTGGCCGTCACTTGGCTACGTTCACTCGACAGCCTGGGTCTAGTCTGTACACACTGACCACTGCGTCTGCACAGGTGGCTGAGTCAGGTCAGGTAGCTGCATCGAGTCGAGCGTCTGCGTCAGGGCAGTTAGCTGCGTCTTGCTCGTGCAGAGTACTCACGCACGAGACTCAGCGCTCGCACCACCGTCTTGGTCACCCCTCCCTGCAGCGTCTGCGCGGCATGCACTCCCGGCTCCTGGTCTCTGGCCTCCCTGAGACCCTGCCCCCCCTCCCGCGCTCACTTGCGCCGCCGTGCCTTCCTTGTGTCGAGGGGCGGCAGCGCGCCGCTCCTCACTCCTCCGAGTTTCCTCCGACCACTGCTCCTCTGCAGACTCTCCACCTGGACGTGTGGGGCCCGGCCCCCGTCGGTGGGACGGACCAGGAGCGCTACTTCCTGCTGGTTGTTGACGACTACACACGCTACACCACAGTCTTCCCCTTGCGTCGCAAGGCGGACGTCAGCGGTGTTTTGATCCCCTGGATCCGTGCTACTCGTCTCCAGCTACACGAGCGGTTTCAGCAGGACTTCCCAGTCCTGCGTCTGCACTCTGACAGGGGTGGTGAGTTCTCTTCTGGCGTCCTTGAGACGTTCTGCCAGGATGAGGGCATCGCCCAGTCGTTCACGCTTCCGGCCTCTCCGCAGCAAAATGGGACCGCGGAGCGTCGCATTGGCCTGATCATGGAGGTTGCTCGTACCTCCATGATCCATGCGGCTGCTCCCCATTTCCTGTGGCCGTTTGCGGTCCGATATGCCGCGCATCAGCTCAACCTCTGGCCCCGTGTCTCTGCTCCAGAGACCTCGCCCACACTCTGTTGGACGGGACAGCCTGGTGATGCGTCGTCGTTTCGGGTCTGGGGCGCGCTCTCCCTTGTTCGCGATACCAAAGCGAGCAAGCTCTCTCCTCGCACTCTCCGCTGTGTCTTCCTGGGCTTCCCCACCGACGCCCCGCCCTGGCAGTTCTACCACCCTGCCTCGCGTCGTGTTCTGTCCTCTCAGGACGTCACCTTCGACGAGTCGGTCTGTTACTACCGACTTCACCCGCACGCGTCCCACCCGGTCCCCCTTGCACCCCTCTTCCTGGTACCAGTCCCCCCCCCGGTAGACCCCCTCCCCCCACAGGGTCCTTCTCCCTCAGGTGTGTCCCAGGTAGACCCACCCCCCTTGGATGAGCCAGTTGAGATCTCTTCTGACTCCTCTGACTCAGCTGAGGGGGGTGACGCCGTCGCCGACGACACGGCGACCACTCGCCGCACTCCTCGCTTGGCGACCCCCCCCAGGTTTCCCGCCACGGCCGTCTTCGCCGCCTCCGCAGCCTGCTGCTGTGGACTCTGGAGCTGAGATTACTAAAGCAGGGACTGGGGGTGGTGAGTCTGGGGGTGCCCGCTCTCCTCGTCTGGCTAACCCCCCCGGGTTCCCACCTCTGCCGTCTTCGCCGCCTCTGCAGCCTACTGCTGTGGACACTGGAGCAGAGACTGAGGGTGCTGGGACTGAGGGTGCTGGGACTGAGGGTACTTAGCCTGAGGGTGCTGGGACTGAGGGTGCTGAGACTGAGGGTGCTGAGACTGAGGGTGCTGGGACTGAGGGTGCTAGGACTGAGGGTACTGCGACTTTGGGTGCTGACTCTGGGGGTGCTGCGAGTCCTTCTGGAGGTCCTGGAGCTGGAGGTACTGGAGCTGCTGCTGGCGCTGGAGGTGCTGGAGCTGGAGGTACTAGAGGTGCTTCAGGTGCTGGAGGTGCTAGAGCTACCACTACTAGAGGTACTGGAGCTGGACAGCCATCGCAGCCTGCTCTACTTGAGACGCTCTCGCCGCAGGCGATTCGTGCGTGGGTCGTTCTGCGAGGCAGTCCTGGTGGTGGAGGGTACGCTCCTGCTGGTGCTGGAGGTACTGGAGCTGCTAGTACTGGAGGTGCTGCTGGTGCTGGAGGTACTGGAGCTGGAGGTACTGGAGCTGCTGGTGCTGGAGGTACTACTGTTACTGGAGGTGCTGGAGCTACTGGCACTGGAGGTGCTGGTGCTACTGGTGCTGGAGCTGCGGGTGCTGCTGGTGCTGGAGGCGTTGGAGCTGGAGGTACTGGAGGAGCTGGAGCTACTGGTCCCGGAGGTGCTCGTACTGGAGGTGCTGGAGCTGCCGGAGCAGGTGGTACTGCTGGTGCTGGAGGTGCAGGAGGTGCTACTGGAGCTGGAGGCACTGGAGGTGCTAGAGGTACTACTGGTGCTCGAGGTGCTGGCACTGTCGGAGCTCGTGGTGCTGGAGGTGCTGGTGCTACTGGTGCTGGAGGTGTTGCTGGGGGTACTGGAGGAGCTGCTCGTGCTGGAGGTACAGGAGCTACTGGTGCTCTTCGCCACCTTCTTAGTCTTCCGCCAGGTGCTACTGGCTTCCCTGTGGCAGGTACTGCTCCTCCGTTGCTGTGTCCTCCGGCGGACCAGTCACAGCCACCGCTGCTACCACACTCCCCACTGCCTG